TACGAGTTGAAATCTGATCCAACTTGCTTGAATTGTAACTCGACACTAGATTATAAAGCATAAAGTCACATCACGATAAATATTAATTTTTAATTGCAGTTCTCTTCATGATTTCTTGTTGCAAATTTAAATTTCATCACACAAAATTGCAAATATTGTTACAAACGCGACAAACACGCTCCTCTCCCACCCTGCCCATAGTATCATTTCAATTTATCACCCAGAATCTGGGTGACACGTGACCAGCCGAAACCAGGGTCTTTCCCAACCTCGTCCCCAGGGTCTTCTTCGTGCATGGCGCGTGAAAAATGAGAAGACCCTGGTAAAGGCTCTTCTAAACTCCGTTGTGATTGGTTTATACATTTGACCTTGACATGAGCTTTGAGGATGTTGTTACAATGAATATGATTGGTTTACCGCTAAATAATTCTTGTAATGAGCCCTACGATTGGTTGCATGATTTATAAGGATTTTCACAACAATAACATAACAATAATTTGTTTTAAAGTAAAATGCATGCTTCGCCAAGGCGCGAAGCTCGTTTCTGGCAAATATTTTCCAACATTCAGCCTAATATCAGGCACAATATATAATGGACATCGTAGTGTGAATAAATATAGACATCATTTTGATACTTCAAAGTTGAGACAGCTAATGTTTACATCGTTATCGAAGGTATGAATATATACACATATATTGTATGATCAATCAAACCACAGAACCATTTGCGTTTGTGACGTTTTAGTTCCTCTCAAATACAACCACTTGTTTAATACGAAAACCTCTTGTCTGCTTCAAGTGACAGTTTAATATCAGTCTCAGCTGATGCATTTTTATAGCAGAAATAGACGCACAGAACGATTGCTGTTTGTATAGCTTAATTGTTACATGTTAAAAAATTATATTAATAATAAAGTAAGCAGCCCTTGCTGGGCTCATAGGACACCAGGAAATACTAAAAGCGAATCTAAGATCCATGCAATATATCAATAATTTGTGCCACTGCTGGAGCACAGCTACTTGAATTTTCCACAAGAATGGATGCCACTGACCTTCACAAATGGAACATTTAAATTATATTCAACATAACTATAAAATTATTTTCAGTTAAATCTAGCATTAGTGTTACACTGTAAATCATCCATAATTATCACAGGTGTACAGAGAGTACACTTTTCAACCCCCTCCCACAGCGACTTAACCGATGATGGTGGGTCTATAGTTCAACATTTTAAAAAGCGTATACTGGTTATGAACTTGTCTACCTGAAGCGTATAGTTTGTACACTTCAGGAAATGTTGGTAGTTATGGATGACTCATAATTGAATTTCATTAGCCTTTACATCATTGTGAATTACCATTTGCATGCATGTAACACTAACAGCATGATCTTTATTCTATACCGTATAGGAAAAATTGAACACATCTGTCCTGCAAAGCTAGTACAAATTTACATTAGCAGCTAGTGAATCAGTAAGGGAGGTATAATAAAGCAAGTGTTCAAATAAATGCAGCCAAATCAAAATTGTTTGTCTCCACACTGCACTTCCTCGTAAATGGACAGCTCAATGAGAACAAATGTTGTGGACAACTGTGGTTTCGACATTGCAGGCTGGCTGCACATTTTGCAATGATGTACATGCAGGAGAGCAGTTGTTGAATCATCAATGAAATCGATTTCCAAAGAGCTCCAAGGCTTACTTTTTGAAATGACTGAGAATTCATTTTCGATATGAGTGAGAGCTCCTATCAGCCACATGTTAGGATGCGTATTACCAGCTCTTTTCTCTACCTTTGCACAGTACACAGAAGGAAAAACAAAGACCAGATTTTGAACCGAGTAACCTTTATTTAACTTAAAACAGCACTGTATATAACTTTAAATATTGTAAAAAATGAAATATCAGTTAAATACTAATTCAGTAAAAATTGTCTTGGTATGGAAATATCTCTTTCTGTTGTATATGCATTGTTCAATTACCATGTCACTTTCTTGAGTATTACCAGAATATTAATAAGTATAGTTGAGCCAGCTTCCTAATATTATGGAATCTAGGATAGTTGTTGACTTTGCGGTTTCCCAGCTTAATAACCTCATATTAGCAACATTCCTAGATGTGAAGACTAACAGCACCCCCATCCCCATTAAGTTGTACATATACAGTTGCAGTCTTCTTGACAGTCCTTGTTTTATCCGTATTGATGTTTGAGAAGCATGAATATCTAAAATATAATACAATTGATTTGCATTTCATTTCACAAACTGGAAACCTAAATCTATATGTTACACTAAATCTATCCAATTAATTTATTAACAGTAGATTTATTTCTAATTGAGGCAGAAACCACTTACATAGGTTACGTTTGAACAAAACTATCTCTAAACTGGTTGGCAATCTTTTAGTTTTACTGATTCACCATTCAGTGCACAATATAAACTCGTAGTACAAATGAAATTTCTGCTGTCTGAAAGGGGATGGGGAAATGCACTTTTATAATAGCAACACGTATTAGTAGGATGTGCAAAAGGAAAGGGAGTTCTAATCTCCTATGTGAGAGCTGTGGATCTAAGGAAAATTATTCCACATGTAAGCACTTTGCATGCTCCAAGGGAATAAACTACAAATTACAATATTATTATATACCAGAATATGTATAAACATGCGATAATTTTTAGTCAAAATAACTTGAACAAGTGCAACGTTCACAGTATAAAAATATTAAAATGGATAATTTAGTGATGAGTTTTATATGGCCCACTAGTAAATTTTCATTATCAAAATATAATTTCTCAAAACTCAGCGCTTTAAAAAAATACTTTGTAGGCATATTAGCCCAGTCATAGGGCCATTATATGTCAAATGATAATATAAATAATAATATATTGTAGTTTTTCAATTACCTTCACAGTGACAGGGCTGTCAGACTGCCAGTGCAAGCAAGCCGTGAGACATGACAAACAACGCGAATTCTTCGGCCAGGAAGATAAAAATTAGACGTGCTAGCTTCTTGTTATTTTCTCTCTCTAGACATCGTAATTTTTGAAGAGAAATTACTTATCCAGAGGTATATTTTAGCAAAAAAAATACATGTCCAAACTGAAATATTTCATCTCAAGAAGGCCATGAAAAATTTGTACGCCAGCAATGAATCGGTCAGCGCCAAGGCAAATTCGCTTTTGCGCATGCACTAAAATGTCCATGAATCGTGGAGATTTTCACAGCCTTTACCAGGGTCTTCTCATTTTTCACGCGCCATGCACGAAGAAGACCCTGGGGACGAGGTTGGGTCTTTCCTTCGCCTCGCGCCGTTCTCAGAAAGACCCTGGGAACGAGGTTGGGAAAGGTTATCATGTCCCGATATGACATAATCACTACCTATTCCTATGAAGAAGTGAAATGAATAGATTTATTTTTAAGTCTAGTGCATGGGGGGTCGTGTTGTGAATATTCATCCTGCATGTTTCGCTAAAGTGCACACAAGGATTAATTGGGCCGATTCAGATTTAAGTAAACGATATTTGAAAAATAGGCTGTCAACGTCATCTGACGACATCGTCAACTGAGAGTATTCGTCATTAACATTAACCAGTAATCGGCCCGAATAATCGTTGTGTGCAAACGTAGCTTAATGCGACACTAAATTAAATTAACAATTCAGTATATAGTCGAGTATATATATAGTCGCATTATCCATTCATCTGTACTATTATTGTTATTCATCTGCACTATTATTATGTAGATATAGTTCCATAGTTACTGTTGCTTTAATGCGACACTAAATCAGTTGCTAAATGACAGTTAGAATACTTGGTGATCAAAAGACAGGATAATATTAGATATGTAGAGTTAATTATTTTGTATATAAGTTATGTTATGTATGTAAATATATTTCAAATTAGAAGTGTTGCATTTTTATAGCATGGCTTCCTTGCGAAACGACTAATATTAGGAAAGGCAGAATATTCATGAGCATGGTGTGTCAACAACTGGCGCGCATATTTCCCGCCAAAAATTGATTTACGCAGTTCATGCTAAGCCTGCATGCGCGCAGTCTTATGACTTCAAAACGATGTCGATATCATGAGACTGCGCGCTGGCTAAGTTTATACAGTATGCTACCAATTTCAGCAACAACTCTTGTTTTTAATAACCCACTGAAATGATACACAAACGCGGTCGTACAAATCTTTACATGTCACATTATTTTGAACGTTGCATATAGTTTTACCAGTGAATGTATAAATGCATATGACCGTGATATGATTTATGTTTTAAAACACTACAAAGGTCAAAGGCAAGATGTATGTGGAAGTATATAAATGTCAGCTTTCATTAATAACCTTATTGAGTGACACGGTAAATTAAAGTGCGGGTCCGTCCATCCACATTAAGGATTTAATTAAGAGTGAATACAAACGCGAAACATTCGCGGTTATAGTCGTTACGCGCATAATACTATATAACAGATTAAAATATTAATTTAACATGCTTAATAGCTTTATTTTCGTGAAGTTGAACTATTCAAAACATTTCATTATTGTTATGTTACTGATAATGTTTGATTAAATGCATGACACTTCAAGTGCCACATTACCGGCTCGTTGTTATCGCAGTTCTGCTTCAGGGCAGGTATTTTGAATTTCGACTCTCTGGTTTAGAAATATCAAAGTATTATAACAATATTTCCTCAACAAATATGAGCAATAGACAAAGACAATAACTTGTTATGTAAGATGGTGTGATCATATATACAGTAATAAATCTTTCATATGCAAGACAAACTGACAAAGGTCGTATAACAAACCAGAATGAACGCAAGAGCATGTATAGTCTAGTAGTAGAATTGCAATTTTAACTTAATCGTAAATCGCAATATATTTCAGCATTTTCTTTTGCGTTAATTATTGTAAATGATAAAAAAGTAAGTAAATAATAGTATTAATAGTACTATTAATTTCTGTTTTAATTCTCTGAAACAAAGCAGTGCGTTTAGTTAAGTTCAGTATACGAGATGGTTTGAAAGAAAAGCAGCGAATTCCTTTACTTGCCACTGGCAAAACTGGCACTCTGGCAAAACTGGCGCTCTGGCAAAACTGGCAAACTGGCGCTCTGGCAAAACTGACTAGCACTTTAGTAAACTGGCGCTCTGGCGAAACTGGCGCTCTGGCATGGCAAAACTGGCGCTCTGGCAAACTGGCAAAACTGACTAGCACTTTAGTAAACTGGCGAAACTGGCGCCCTGGCAAAACTGGCGCTCTGGCAAAACTTGCGCTCTGGCAAAACTGGCGCTCTGGCAAAACTGGCGCTCTGGCAAAACTGGCAAACTGGCGCTCTGGCAAAACTGCCGGCGCTCTGGCAAAACTGGCGCTCTGGCAAACTGGCGCTCTGGCGAAACTGGCACTCTGGCGAAACTGGCACTCTGGCGAAACTGGCACTCTGGCAAAACTGGCACTCTGGCGAAACTGGCACTCTGGCGAAACTGGCACTCTGGCGAAACTGGCACTCTGGCAAAACTGGCGCTCTGGCAAAACTGGCGCTCTGGCAAAACTGGCGCTCTGGCAAAAATGGCAAACTGGCGCTCTGGCGAAACTGGCACTCTGGCGAAACTGGCACTCTGGCAAAACTGGCGCTCTGGCAAAACTGGCGCTCTGGCAAAACTGGCGCTCTGGCAAACTGGCGCTCTGGCAAAACTGCCGGCTCTCTGGCAAACTGGCGCTCTGGCAGATGGATAAAAAGCCAAAAACGTACATCATTTTGGCGTATGGCATTCAGAGTCGTTATAGATGACGTAAGACATAGTTTGTATAATTACCATATATTATTTATAACCAGAATAATTTTGTATATTACTTGTGACGTGTTCTGTGCTTTGCTACACGGCTTAATAACCCCGGCACGCGGCTTTAATTTAACAATATAACAAAAGTTTATACAAAAAGGTATTCGGCATCTTTTGGTAGAACTACGGTTTAACAACATTTGCACTTTTTTCTTCCTAAACTGATGGGCTTATAGGTATAAGCGCTTTTCCGCGTCAAAAATGTGTATAACTTCAACAACGGTCAAAGCCAAACTGCTTAAAATTAGGAGCTTTAATATTATTTTATTACCATGATTACTTCAGATTCACCACTGTATAGCCGGTGCACAATAATGCTTAGTGAAACTCACCTTTCCATGTAAATGACGTATTTTTCCAACGTAGGGTGCGTAACCTAACAAATGTCCGATTACTTATTTATACGAATGTGTGTTATAACTACTATACTTTTTCGATTCATTAACGTCGGAATCAAAATGTTAGATTAATCCCGGCTTGCGTTCTTGTTGACAAGAAAAAAAGCATTTAAGGAAGGGCAACAATTAGGTTGTTCCTTCCGATAAATTATGAATCTCAGGGTAGTTATATGACTTATGACAAACAAACTTGTACTGCCAATGTTTGGTGACTGATGTTTTGGCTGATGTTCATCACTAGTCAAGTTGAAAAGGTGCTTGACTGTGGTGGGAATCAAATTCTGGACTTTTAGTTAGCTTGCTAGTCTGCCGTTCCGCACGTTGTAAATAATCTATTGGCGTTGTGAAGCCACTGTATGCAATAAAGTATTAGGTTGTAATGGGTCTAAAATTACAATAACCCGAATCCAAACGCTAATCCTAACCCTAACTCCCTAACCTCATAACCCCTAACCCTAAAGTTGATGAGGGCCATTACATTTATGACTAAAACTTTTGTCCAGTGCTTGTGGTTTTGTCTCCAATTACAACGTAATACTTTATTTAATACAGTGGCTTTACAACACCAATAGATTATTGGTTACAACGTGCGGAACGGGTGTGCTAGTCCAAAGGTAGGGCATGAATTCGATTCCCACTGGCAATGTAAAACAGATGGGGTATGTTTACCGCATAGGCAATTAAATACCTGATAGCTATACATGCAATAGGTTGATTTATATATATTTTAACATTTGTATGTCATGCAGTATATTTTGCAACGCTTCTTTAGGTAGCATCCGAGTTTCATATTCGCTCCCTTTTAACGATGTCAGAAGATTTGGATCAAAATATTGATGAAGCTACCGTTGATCTACTTTTACGCAAGTGGGAACAAAATGTTGTACCAAAAGAATTGAAAGGTTGGTGAAACTATGTCCAAAGAAAGTAAGTTCTTAGCAAATGCCTTTGTAGGAAAGATTTTTTCCCGAGCAATTTAATTTGAAATGCGTTTCCCGCTGCCTTTTATAGATCTATGCTAATTCTATATAATAGTTCAGCAAAACTTACTTGGCGCGAAAAGTGGTAATGTGTTACCATATCCTTATCGTACTGTATATTTGTAGAATATCTAAAAGGGAGCTTAAAGCGGTGGCTACCAGAAACAAAAATGGGAGGTGTCAAAGAAAGACGTCGAAATTACAAGAAGAATCCAAACTCAGGTCACGGCAAAAAGACTAGGTAAAAATTGTTTTGCTTAATCTGGGATTTTAAATTAATTTGCCTTAACTTTCCCTAATTCCGCAGTTTTTAACACATTATTTCGTCTAATTTATTTATATATTATCCATATTTCTATGCCTAAAAATCTTCGGGGTTAGTCGGTTATTATATTTAGGATTGTAAGAAACACACTGTTTCGAAACTGGTCATTATCCCGCTTTCAAAACAATAGTATTCAAAGGATTGAAAATTCCCTCCTTTCCAATGTAACCGAGAAAGAAAACTAAATATGTTCATATATGAATAGTGGGTGACAGCTTGTAGTAGCTAGAAATTTACTTTTCTGCATTATCGTGGTTACGCACAAACCGCGAAACGTTTGCTTGAAGAAAGCAGAAATAGTCAGGTCTCTTATGACTTAATATGGGTCGGATCGTTACAGAAGTGACAAAAGCGCCAAATTTGGCAGAGATGTTCATTAGGACCTACTGATTAATATTAGAGGGGGAGCCCAACGCAATCTTCACCGTACAAGTATTAACGGGCCTTATAAAATTTACCTTAATTACGAATTGGGCTACTGTGTTGTTTTGCAGTTTTCATCTAAAACAGCTAACAAGAAATGCAGTAGTGACATTTATTGACTGAAACTATTATGCTTACTCGTTTTTTCGCATATTTCATTATGAGACATCATTTATATATTACATAAGGCTTTTAGATATATACTAGTTCCCAGTCCCTTCTCGGTAAGAATAATCAAATTTCAACTTTAACGCCATATACTAGAGTTTTTTTTTCATAACGGAAACAATGATCGATCGCTGAAACTCTTCAGATTATCATTTAACCTTCATGCAGTTACTTTTAGGATAGGCATTGGCATCTGCAAAGGGGGGTGCATACCAAGGAAGCCACACTTGCATCGTGTACACGCGCCTTTGCAAGAGCATTTTATGAGCTCACTACAAGCCTTGGATACTTCGAGTATGGTGATCCATTTCGGAACCCATTTGCCATCGTCTTCAGACCACGAGAACTGCCCTGGTGATGGCACATGTGGCTGTGG